ACAGACCCACCTGGATCAGCACCGGTCAGGAAAAGCAGCATGCAGCTGAAGCTGGCTTCCCACATGCCGCTGCAGACAGAAGGAGCCCGGCCAGGTCAGCACCAGCCAGCAGAAGCAGCAGTGGAGCCGTGTGCTGCTCGGGATTGACTGGTGCAGGCAAGGGGAAAATGCAGCTGAGCCCCTGCCACTCAGGCCGGACTCGTCCTGTCCTGAGCGGCACATGGCTCCGCCGCCACTTCTGCTGGCTGGTGCAGACCTGGCTGGGCTCCTCCCATTTGCAGCAGCATGTGGGAAGCCAGCTTCAGCTGCATGCTGCTTTTCCTGACCAGTGCTGATCCGGGCAGGTCTGTCCCATCCAGAGCAGCATGCAGGGGGGACAAGGGGTGGGAACGAAAGTAAACGGTGTTTACTTTCGTTTCCTGTCGCAGTACCTTGGGCCTCAGAAAATGCCTTGGCGGGCCGCATGGCAGCCCATGGGCCATATGTTGGACAAGCCTGGTGTAGACTACTGTTCTAATCAGAATGCTCTGGAGTGCTGCAGTGTCTCATGTATTTAGTGTCTCCGTGTTTCAAAATGGCAGTGGGGGCACTTTAACTAAAGCTTGCCAAACACTAAATACATGAAATTCTGCAGATGTTTTAATTAGAGTGGCACCTAAGAGCTGCTCTAATTAAAATGCCCCTCTCCCCACCCTGGAGCCCATGTATAGGCACCCCAAGACTTGTTCCTCATGTGAAGCTTCAGTGCCAGTTGGGGCATTTTTGGTGCTGAATCTGGCTAGGAAAGGGATGTATTTCTGGGCCATTCCCCATACATCACACTTTTTCTAAGCAAACTTAAAACACTAGACAAAACTGCCTATAGTTTTTTCTTCCTGAGAACTCCATGCAAGCCACCTTAGCCACCAAGTGGAAGGTCAAATTTAGGCTTCTGTCACTAGGTCTTCATTACTGCCCTGGTAAGTCAAGAACTCCGATCTGATCATTTGGAAGAATCTCGAAACATCCACCATTATTTCAACATCAATAGCTGACTCGGGCAGAAGAGCACCACAACAGGAATAAATGAAGGTCTAAGTTACTTTCTCTGGTGCCTGATTAGTCAGGACACAAGAAATATCAGACTTCTAACTTGTCTTGGGCTCAACCTCCTAAAGGCCAAAAGCCTGGTCCCATGATACCAATTAGTGTGAATATTAATAGTGTCCTTCAAATTTATGGATCAAATCTTCCTTGGCATATACTCTTTGATGCCAATCTTGGCACTGGGTATAGCTTCATTAATAAGTCACCTGGTCCCAGGCCCCCAGGTATTATGAGTCAGTTTGGAATCACATTCCTTGGTACATAGTAACTCTGTAATGGGTATTTTGATACTCAAAGCATTTATATCAATTGACTTCACTTTGGACCTGGAACTGAAGTCACTTCTTCTAGCAAGGCTGAGTGGTAATATCCAAGCTACTGATTACAGAGCCATCAGTACAAGCTAAGCAAGTATCTTTAGTACCAACATATTCCCCTGTTAGATGGGGCACTCTGTCACAACCCTTCTATTGGAAAAAAAAGTAAAAAACCAAAGAGTGAATTTCTTACTCATTTTAACTACTACAGAAAAAAGAACAGTTTGGTGTGATCTTGTCATTCATCTCAGATGGGGCAGCAAAGCCCTGCTATGCCTACTTCTGTGAAGGACTTGAACATATCCTGAGGCCACATTAAGACAATGGCTGGGACCCGAGATATACCATTATAAATAGTACATCACATAGGAACACCACATAAAACCCTGGACATTTTACACTTTTCTATATCCGGCAGGCTCCACATATCTGTAAATAAATAAGTGTTGCAGCCTGCAGAAGACCTGCAGCATATTCCACCATTTACTCCAGCCACATCTGAATGATTTCATAGGAGATACCTGGTATCATCCAGGAGTAGAATATTTTTTATTTCCTACTTATTTGCTTTTAGGGCTACTGCCCAGCTAGGAGTCTAAACAGTAGGGACCTTCAAAATTCACAACCAGAGAGAGGGTTTAGCTTCCATAGTAGTTAATACTTTGAGTAGTGTGCACTGATGCCCAGGAGAATGACCTGATAATTCAAGTATGAATACTTGAACTAGGATAAATTGTCTCAATCTATGAACAGCCTACCAAAAGAATTTGGAGGAATTGATGGTCATTGTAATAAGAGCAGGGGTTGTCAACCAGGGGTATGCATAGGCCCAGGTGTACTTGGAAAGGGGCTAGGCTCTGGGGGTTATCTATGGGTAGGTGGGGACAGAGCACTGCCTCCCAGGAGCAGGGCCAGGGGGGATGAGGGCAGCAGCTCCCCTCTGCGGGCTACATAGGTGCTGCCCAGCCAGCTGGCTGTTGCGGGGAGGTGGGGAGAGCTTGCACATGGTGGCTGCTGCCACCATCTACCACACCGCACCACCACTGTGTGCAAGTCCCCCCTGCTGTGTGCCTGGGCGCCACCCCCCCCACCTCTGCATCCAGCTGCTGCAACCCCCCTGCTCTGCCAGAAGTGTACCCAAAAGGGGTACACTCTTTTAAAAAGGTTAAAAACTGCTGTAATAGAGGAACAAATGAAGAAGGCCTTTGGGGTCTTCAGCGAGGTCCAAATAATAATTGAGGACCTTCTCTTGGAGGACAATGATCTTTTTAATTCTAGGAAAGATGAAGCACTCTTTCCCTAGAGGATTCTATGGTAACTCTGTTCTTTGACTCCTTGTGTTTTACCTCCAAAAAAAGGAAGCCAGGTTGTCACTCCTGCAAGCAGCATTCCTGTAATACTACTGTCTGGCTCAGAGGATCTCAGCTTTTAAGAAAAAGCAGATGTTCTACTGGAGGCAACAAAATCTTTGCCTTTTCTTTTGGGACGTCCTTCAAGAGTTGATTTTCAGGGCAGTATTGAAACTGCCCAAGGATCTTTTCATTTCAGCTCTGTAAGGGCAGCCATTTCTGGGAAGCCTGCTCTTGAATCTCCCCAGACCAATGAGTCCTGGAGAATGTAAACAAAGGTTATGTTGTTCAGTTCCAGTCCCGTCCTGCCTGTTCCTTTTTTAGGGATTCTTCTTACAAGATAATAGTAAAGCAAGTAGAGGGTTCCCTTTTGCAATTTGGAGCAGTGGAAGAACTGCCCTTAGAATTCAGGGGCATGAGATAATTCAAAGGTAGAAGAATTCATTCCCATTATTTTCTCTTTCCAAACCAGAATAGGGTTGATGTCCCATTCTGAACTTTTGACATATCAACAAATTCATGTGTCATTTCAAATTCAGGATGGTGATTCTGGCCTCTACAATTTCATTTTTAGTTTATCAAGACTGGTTTGCAGCTGTTAACTTATAGCTGTGGATGCTTATTTCCCAAGAAAAGATCAACTTGAAGTCAACAGAGGAATTGACATTTGTTCTGGCTCAAAGCATAGAGGTCGTAGGAGCAGGTTCCATGTCAGTGAGAGTTTACCTTCCATAAGAAATATTCTGGAAAATAGTAAACTTCATTTAACCAACTTCAGTCTTACCCTAGAATGCTCAGATTTTCTGGATGCAGAAATCAGATTTGTATGCCTTGGACTTCTTGGATACAGGGCTTCTCACTCATCTATGTGACAATTTGCCAGTCTACACTTTCTGTTAGGGTGGTTGAAATCAGTGTATCTGTACACCGGACATGCTGGTCCACAAGAAAGTTGTCTCATTTAGTAGTGGAAGGCCCAGATACCCAGTGGCCCTCCACTGCTTTTCCAGATAACGTTTCTCTGCTCTTCTACCTGTTAAGATTGGTGACCTACTCCTCCACTCAGAAGTGGGCTTTTAGAAGTACA